CGGCAGGTGGGCGGGGCCTTGGGGGTGGAGTGGAAGGGTCTGGGGGCACAGCAGGGGTGGAGCACTCCTGGGGGAAATGAAAACCCAGCATCTATGGGTGTCACTCCTTCAGCTCAAGCGGGAGAGGTGTGGGCTTTCAGTGCGAAGGTCCTGGATTCACACGCTGATGAACACACATGGTGGGAAGGGTCATCACACTAGGATTCAGCGCCTCAGCAAACATTCAGCACGTGCGCTAAGTGTAGCTCCCAGGCAGGGACTGGGTATCTCAGTTTTGGAGCCTTCTGCCTGTCAGTCAAAGGTGCGGGCCCAGCACAAGATCAGAATTGATCACAAGCTGTTCGTTTCTCGTGATTATTTGGTGGCCTTCTCCCAAGAACCGCCACTGTGCCCGGCCCCCTTGCTGTCAGACACAGCAGAGAAGGAAAGGACTGACTGGGACATGATCACTGAACGCCCCCACTAACTGGGTTTGCGTAGCAAGCCTGCGCGATGTGTGTCACATCCTTCTCTAGTGGCTGCTCCAGAAAGAGGATAAGAGCCTACTGCTGCCGCCCGCTAATGGACTGACTCCTTTAGCTCAGGTGGTAGCGCTCTGTGCTTTGGTGCTGCTGGCCCAAACCCCGCTGATGCCATGGGGAAGGAGTTATACTGGCACCGATGGTGTCAGAGCCGGGTAGTTTCTGTGCATCACTAGAGGTCGTGCCGCGGGGCTGTCGTTTTGGCACCTTTCGTCAGCTCGACAATTCAAATCAAGACAGAAAGAGCGCCTGTCCCGTGCCAGTCCTAACTCAGGAGCGCAGAAATCATGGTACCCCGCTATTCCCCTTCTGCCGCCTGCCCATTCCCCGGCGAGCCCCAGCCCGCAGGACGATGCTAGAGAGGGTAAAGCTCAAGGCTCGGGGGGGAATTTCAAGCCCACCCAAACACCGTGCATTTGAAATTGTAGCTCAGACGCTGAAGTTATCGGGTTCCGCCTCAGGAGACGTGAGGGGGGATGGAGTGGAGATGAAGGATGAATGCAGAGAGACAGAGACTGTGACTCAGGAAGCAAAGAGAAATCCAGTGAAGGAAACAGCAGCAGAACAGGCTAGACTATTATCCTCAGCACCGAGGGTCCTATTTGCTTCAGCAAATGCTCCCCCAGTGTCAGGGCACAGGATCGGGCCACTGATGTCTAAGGAAACCTGGGAGGACTTGTTTCTCCCTCCCATCCCAGCCGGAGGCAGGCAAGCAAGGGCAGCCGACTCCCTTCGCTAGTCTGGACGCAGAGTGCGCCTGCCCTGCCAGCCCTCTGACTTCAGGACCAAATGTTCTGTTTCAAAGCTGGGGCTGGCGGAGTCGCAAACCAGAAACCACTGCGGCTCTGGCCCACGCTCTGAAATGTGCCTCCCTCTCCCCTGAGAGAGAGTCTCTCTCTCCACAACCACAGCAGCTGGCAAGGGCACCCGGGACCTCCTGCGCTGACCCCAGTGCTAAAGGTCTGGTGGGGGGTGAAAATAGCCTGTCCCCAAAGGGGAGCGAGGGACTTTAGACCCCATTAAAGGAGGAACACCACAAAACCCTTCCTGTGGCTCCAATCGCCAGACAGGGAGGCCAGCTCCTTCTCTGCTGTGCTTTCACTGCGGGTGGCTTTAAGGATCACAGAAACAGTCACCGGGCTGCAACATCACACCCCCCACAACTGCCTGACCAGGATCTTGGAACAACCAAAGAAGAGATGGATCCCCCCCCTCCGGAGAATCCAGCCCAGGTTTTACACCGTGCTGCTGGCTGGGTGTGGACTCTGGGGACCAGCAGCACCCCATCTGGTACAAATCAACATAGCTCCGCTGAAGTCAGTGGTGATTTCCAGCAGCTGAGGTTCTGGCCCTGGGCATTTAAACCCAAATCACTCTCCCACTGAAATCAATGGTAAAACTGCCACGGCCACGGCTGTGGGGGGGTCTCATGCCCTATAGGGATAAGTGCGGCATAGGTTGAATGTAGAGGGAATTAATAAAACTCCAACTCTGGCACCTTGCTACCAAATGTCATGGCTTCGTTTTAAGGGGCGTCCCATAACCCGGAACCACCAGGCCCAGTTTTCAAACACGGGCGTTTTAAGGAGGCTTCCAAACTCCTGCCTTTGATGTCGGAGTTGGCAGTTGGGCTGGCAAATTCCCCTGGGTTTGAAAATCAGGCCTTAGAAAGCTTTGATGGCTTGGAAACCAGAGGCTGCACCCCAAATTAACAGGCTAGACCCTGGATGTTCTCAATCCTGCCGTTTAAGGTATAAAGCTAAGACCGATCACCAGCCTAGATCCAAACACCGCCCAGATTTCAGGGAGTCGGGATTCAAACAGGGGGGCTGGGCCCTACCTTGGATAGTGGGCTGAACCTCCAGATTCCCCAGCACCCCTGAATTTTAGGGACATTTGGATAAAGATCTGGATGCCCCTCACTCACTCGCACCCCCCTCTAGAACAGAGTGTGGCAAAGAGGGGCAAACCGATTGCTACCGAAGCTAATGGATAAAATTCACCCCTGTGTAGAGGGTCAGTCTATGGACTCCGTATATCAAGAGCTTAGGTGGGATGCACAGGCCTTTGCACTGGCGTTCTGCACAGTGGGGACCGTCACCCTCTGGAAAGCCAGCTGGCTTAAAAGCAAACCTGACCGGGGCGACATTGTCTGTATTGTGTATTTCTTCTGAGGTTAGAAGCCCAGCCAGCCACTGCCTTTAATGAAACTCCCAACAAAACTGTTCTGGAGATCAGAGAGTGGTGGCGTAAAGGGTAGGCCCCATGTACAACTAGCATCTTCTTATTCACCAGACCTGCCCCGCCATGAGCCTCAGACTCTGATCTGCTGACTTGACTGGCTCAGACAAGTTCTTACCACTTCTGACTCGTGTTTGGGCTTAGCCACACGGCGAAATCGACCAGAACAGCTCCCCACGCGGACACTCGAAGGCTAAGCGGCTCTGCTGTAGCGCTACACTGTAGATGCGCACTACAGCGTTCTCCGGGCACTATATTCCCGAGAGGCGGAATTCTTCCATCAACCTAGCGCTGTTGATGTGAGGGGCGAGGTCGGCATAGCTCTCCCGATGTATGTTTTCAGTGTGCACCAGCCCTTACTCTGGAATAGCTATCGCACTTTAAATTCACTCCCTACCTTATTCCAGAACACCTCCGTGTATAGACACGGCCTTAGCCCTCCAGAGCTAGCCCAGCTGTGGAAGGGTGCGCTAAACATCTCCTCTGGCTTGTGCATCAGCAACAGTATTGCTTACTAGGTTCCCCCCAGGCCTTCTCCGCACTTAAAGGTTTGTCCCTTTAATTATTTAATGGCATGATTAAAGCAGAACTGCAAGGCTAGCATGGATGCAGTTATACCAGCATGACGTGCCGTTACATCAGTATAGCGTATTCCAATTCAGTGAAGTGAAATAAGTTATACAGGCCTAAAGCACCTCATACTGGCATAACTGTATCTACTCACCAGGCAGGCTTTTCTGGCAAAACCACCAAGGTGAAAATCACCCCCCTCACTGTCACAGTTATACCGGTAAACAGTGTAGTGACCGCTCTGCAAACCCTCTGAAGGAAGTGGGACTGCACTTGGGTTACCTGGAGCGCCCTTGCTACTCGAGATGATGAGGTGTGGAATGGAAAGGACCCGGTTTGGTCCTCAGATCCCAGCGGGAGTCTGTATGGATGGGTGAAGGGTTACCCCAGTCCTGGAGCAACCACGTGAACGGGCACAGGTGCCCAATGCAGTTTTGATCTGCTTTTAGTTAAGGACCAGCTGCTAACAGGTGACTGCTTTTCACTGGTCCGGAATGAGCGCTTAGGCAGGTTTTGCTGCACAGAATACTGGCCCATATCCTCAAAGAAATTTAAGTGCCTAACTCCCCTAGGCACCTAACGGGCTTTGATAATCTGTGCCAATATCACCATTTGCTTCAACTAGAGGAGAGTTTAATGTACCTGGAAGCTCCTGGCAAGAGTTGAGCAGCCACAGATCCCAAGGAAGTCCTAAACCTTCTCATTCCTAATGAAGCAGGCAGCCTAGAGCTGAAGGCTTGGTGAGGATTATTAATTTCCAGACCGTCGTCTGTTCCCCTGGTGGGTCGGTAATCGGCTGAGTCTCAAAGAGCACAATTCCTAGCATGCATCAGTTTTGGAAAGTTCTACTGGTAAATTTGCTATGGGGACACTCTGGAAAATTAATCCGAATTAACTAAAGATGTCAATGTAAAGTGGATTACTTAAATCACATTAAACTCCTATGCGGTTGTTCGCCTTAATTCGATTTAACTTAATTTGCTTCCAAAGTGAATATAACTAAACCGAGTTAAGGCCATGTTAATTCTCAACAAGAGCATCCACACAAGGTTTTAACTAATCCACTGCAACCGGTCATTTAGATCAAGGCCTGAGCTACGCTAGAAAATTAGGTCGGCATAACTACAGTTGCTCGGGGGTGTTAAAAAAACCTAAGTCCAGTGGTGAGCTGGAGCCATTTCCCACCAGTTCGCAAGAACCGATTGTTAAATTTAGAAGCCGGTGTAGAACCGGCTGTTAAAGGGGCGGGTGTAGGGTGACCAGATGTCCCGATTTTATAGGGACAGTCCTGATATTTGGTGTTTTGTCTTATATAGGTGCCTATTACCCCCCAACCCCTGTCCCGATTTTTCACCCTTGCTGTCTGGTCACCCTAGGCGGGTGGGTGGGCATACAACTCCGGTCCGCGGGCCACATCCGGCCCGTGGGACCGTCCTGTCTCCGGCCCGCCTGAGCTCCCAGCTGGGGAGGCTCCCCCGGCCCCTCCCCCATTTCCCCCCCTCCTTGCAGAGCCGCAGCGTGCCCGAGCCACTAGGGCCAGCACTCTGGCCAGCTCTGCAGCTCCTGCCGCTTTGAGTGGCAAGGTAAGGGGGGTGGGGGCTGCGAGCTCCACCGGGCCGCGCGGCATCC